TCTCCGGCACATCCACCGGCCCCCATCACCGCGACGCCGCCGTCGCCTTCAACCCTACCGGCCCACTATACCCCGGAGGCCATGGCAGGGGTCCTCAACGACTTGGTCGTCGCGGTCCAGGGCATCCGGCTCTTCCTGGCCAGCCCGTACGGGCCGCCCCCGCCGCCTGCGCCCTCCGGCCCACCGGCGCTTCCGTGGTACTCGGTGCCCGCTGCACTCACCGGCGGCTACAGCAGCCGGCCTGGCCACAATGGCCCGCACCAGCGCTCGCGGCATCGGCCGCGTCCGCCCCAGCCCCGTGGCCGGTCTGGCCTGCACCGGCCCCCTCCGCGCCGGCTGCACCGGCCCCCACGCCGTCTCCACCACCTAGCGCCGGCCTGAGTCAGGGCCCTTCCGGCGGGATCCCGATCCAGCAGGTGCGCTTCCCACCGTCGCCCTCTCTGATTCCGGCATGGCTCACCGGAACATCGCCACCGCTGGTCTACACGAAGGCCGGAGACCCGGCGGTGTCCACGCTGCAGTACGGCGCGCCGTCCTCTGCTCTCCGCATCGGCGAACCGGTGGGCACTGGCGCATCGACCCTGACACCACCTCGCTTCGCCCGGATCGACTTCGCCACGTATGATGGCTCGGAGGACCCTCTTAACTGGTTAAACCAGTGTGACCAGTTCTTCCGGGGGCAGCGCACACCTGCGTCCGAGCGCACTTGGCTCGCGTCATACCACCTCCGGGGGGCCGCCCAGACATGGTACTATGCCCTCGAGCAGGACGAGGGGGGCATGCCTCCCTGGGATCGTTTCCGTGAGCTGTGTCTCCTTCGCTTCGGACCACCACGGCGCGGCAGCCGCTTGTCCGAGCTGGGCCGCCTACCCTTCACCTCCACGGTCCAGGATTTCGCCGACCATTTCCAGGCTCTGGCGTGTCATGCACCGGGGGTGACAGCACTACAGCGGGCTGAGCTCTTCGTCGGCGGCCTTCCCGACCACATCCGCGTGGACATCGAGATGAAGTGGCCCCAGGACCTGCACACGGCCATGTACTACGCCCGGGCGTTCGAGCAGCACGCCCAGGCATTAACACAGCCCGCAGCACCTCAGGGGAGCCGATTGCCTCCATGACCACCGCCGGCCGCGCTAGCACCTTCAACCGCCTCACCGGCGACCACCCCGGCCGCTACACGGCCCTTCCGGCGCCTTTCGCAGGCCGAGCAGCTCGAGCGCCGCCGCCTGGGGCTGTGCTTTAACTGTGATGCGCCCTATGCCCCAGGCCATGTCTGCCCGCGCCTCTTCTACTTGGAGACGGTCGACGAGACGGAGGACGACGTCACCGATGATGGACTCGGCGACCCAGCCACCGCCGAGGTCGCGCCTGCACCCGCGCCGGCTATGGCCCTTGTCGTCTCCCTCCACGCGTTGGCCGACATCCGCAATGAGCGGACTATGCTTATCCCGGTCACGATCCATGGCGAGACTCTGGTGGCTCTCTTGGACACGGGTTCTACACATAACTTCCTACCGGAGGCTACTATGCGGCGCCTTGCACTACAACCGACGGGCGGGGAGCAACTGCGGTCACCGTCGCTAATGGCGACCGCCTCCGCTGCCATGGGCTCGCTTAGGACGTTCCCATTACTATCGGCGACGAGCACTTCACCATCACTTGTGCCGGCATCGACTTGGGCTGCTTTGACTTCATCCTCGGCGTCGACTTTTTGCGGACTCTCGGTCCCATCCTTTGGGACTTCGACGCCCTGACGATGACCTTCTGGCACCTCGGCCGCCGCATCCGGTGGGAGGGCGTTGGAGGCACCCCGGCGTCGCCCCCACTCCATCTAGCCGCGGCCACCACGGAGGTCGAGCATCCGCTGCTGGATAACCTCCTGCAACAGCACGGTGATCTTTTTGCGGAACCCCAGGGCCTTCCGCCGGCCCGGGTCTACGACCACCGTATTCATCTCCTGCCGGGATCGGCTCCGGTGGCAGTACGGCCCTACCGTTACCCTCAGCTGCAGAAGGACGAGTTGGAGCGGCAGTGCGCACTCATCCTTGCTGCAGGCATTATCCAGATCTCTACATCACCCTTTACGGCGCCGGTCCTCCTCGTTCGCAAGTCGCATGGCACGTGGCACTTCTGCATCGACTACCGCGCCCTTAATGCTCTCACACATAAGGATAAGTTTCCTATCCCGGTGGTCGATGAACTCCTGGATGAGCTACATGGGGCGCTTCTTCACCAAACTGGACCTCCGGTCAGGGTATCATCAGGTGCGCATGCATCCCGACGACATCGCCAAGACAGTGTTCCGGACTCATCACGGCCACTTCGAGTTCTTGGTGATGCCCTTTGGCCTCTCGAACGCCCCGGCGACATTTCAGGTCTTGATGAACGATGTCCTCCGGCCCTACTTACGTCGGTTTGTGCTCGTTTTCTTTGAGGACATTCTTATCTACAGCGCCTCTTGGGCAGAGCACCTCCAGCATGTGGCCATCGTCTTCAACGAGCTTCGGGCGCATCATCTTCATCTTAAGCGCTCGAAGTGCTCGTTCGGGACACCTTCGGTCGCTTACCTCGGCCACGTCATCTTGGCCGAGGGAGTGGCCATGGACGCCAACAAGGTGGTGACCGTCGCCGCCTGGCCGATTCCGCAGTCTCCGCGGGCTCTTCGCGGGTTCCTTGGCCTTGTGGGGTACTACCGGAAGTTCATTCGGGAGTTTGGCCTAATCGCGGCCCCACTCACGCGTCTCCTCCATCGCGACGCCTTCTCTTGGGATGAGGAGGCCACTTCAGCATTCGAGGCCCTCAAGGGGGCCCTCACGACGGGACCCGTACTGCAGATGCTGGATTTCGACCTCCCCTTCACCGTCGACTGCGACGCCTCCAATGCGGGGTTTGGTGCGGTCCTGCATCAGGGCGATGGACCCCTCGCCTTCTTCAGCCGCCCCTTTGCTGCACGCCATCTTAAGTTGGCAGCGTATGAGCGTGAGCTCATTGGGTTGGTGCAGGCAGTACGCCATTGGCGGCCCTATCTTTGGGGTCGTTCCTTCCGGATCCGCACGGACCACTACAGCCTCAAGTTCATGTTGGATCAGAGGCTCTCGACGGTTCCCCAGCACCAGTGGATCAGTAAACTCTTCAGCTTTGATTTCACCATCGAGTACCGGCCGGGTCGCCATAACACCGTCGCCGACGCCCTGTCTCGGCATGACGCCGATGTGGACGATGGTGCGGCGGAGGGGGCGGCCTTCTGCATCATCACCGGGCCCTCTTTCGCCCTCTACGCCGACATCCGCCGGGCGACCGCTGCCGCGACCGACGCCCTCCTCCTGCAGCAGTAGCTGACGGCGAGCGAGCTGGAGGAGCCGTGGCATCTAGCCGACGACCTACTTCTCCACGGGCGCCGCGTCTTCGTTCCGGCGCATGACGATCTTCGTCAGCAGGTGCTGCGTCTCGCCCGCTCGGCGGGCCATTAGGGCGTGCAGAAGACGCTCCATCGTCTTCGTGCCGACTTCTACATTCCAGGTGATCGTGCCCTGGTCCGTGACTGGGTACGGTCTTGTGTGACGTGCCAGCGCAACAAAACGGAGACACTGCGGCCAGCGGGCATGCTTCAGCCCTTGGAGGTCCCATCTCAGGTTTGGGCGGACATTTCCATGGACTTCATCGAGGGCCTTCCCAAGGTGGGCGGCAAATCCTTCATTCTCACGGTGGTCGACCGCTTCTCCAAGTATGCTCATTTCATCACCCTTGGCCATCCATATTCAGCGGCATCTGTCGCACGGGCCTTCTTCGATGGCATTGTCCGTCTCCACGGGTTCCCTTCTTCGATCGTCAGTGATCGGGATCTTGTGTTCACGGGTCATGTATGGCGCGACCTTTTCCTGCTGGCGGGAAGCTCCGCCTGAGCACCGCCTTCCACCCTCAGACGGACGGCCAGTCTGAGATCGTTAACAAGGTGATTGCCATGTATTTGCGTTGTGTTACAGGTGATCGCCCTCGCGCCTGGGTGGACTGGCTCTCCTGGGCGGAGTACTCCTACAACACCTCTTATCACTCCGCCCTCCGTGCTACGCCCTTTGAGGTGGTGTATGGCCGGCCGCCCCCACCGATCCTGCCGGTTGATCCGGCCTCGGCACGGACCGAGGCAGCCGGGGCTCTTCTGAGGAGCCGTGATGAGATGCTCGCGGAGGTCCAGCAACGACTCCTCCAGGCCCAACAGTTGGCCAAATGATACTATGATGGCCACCATCGCGAGGCGGAGTTCGCGGTGGGTGATTGGGTCTGGCTGCGTCTACTTCACCGCTCTACGCAGTCCTTGGACCCACGCGCAAGGAAGAAGCTCGGTCCTCGCTATGCCGGTCCCTTTGCTATCCTGGAACGCATTGGGAAGGTGGCGTACCGTCTTCAGCTTCCGGCAGGCGCGCGGATCCCTGATGTCTTCCATGTCGGGCTGCTCAAGCCATTCCGTGGTGATCCACCCGCGGCACCACCGGCACTTCGGCCGATCACGGACGGGCGTATCCTTCCTGAGCCAGAGAAGGCGCTGAAGGCTCAGCTACGCCGAGGCTCCTGGTACGTGTTGATTCGGTGGACTGGACTACCAGAGGAGGACGCTACTTGGGAGCAGCGCGAGGAGTTCCACCAGCACTACCTCGACTTTCAGCTCGAGGACGAGGTGTTTGCGCAGGCGGGGAGAGATGTTATGACCGGCCAGGTCTATGGCCGCCGGAGGCCCACTGGGCAGGCTTAGGCCCAAGTTATCTTAGTTTTATTTTCAGATTATGGTTATATATACAAGTTGTAAGACTATTTTGAGAATTAAGCAATAAGACTATTCTATTGTCCGGCTCCCAGAGGAGTCGGAACCCTAAACCCTAGCCGCCTCCCTCTTGCGCTGCCGCCGCCCAGCCACAAGGACAGCACCTCGCCGCCGGCCGCCGAGCTCCAACCCTCGCCCAACTCCCTCCTTTCCCTATAGCCTATGCCCTAGGAAGGCCAGAACCCTAGCTCCTAACACCTGCACACAAGTGGGTGCGGTCATGGTAGGGGAACTTCACCACTGCCCGGTCGCCATCCCTCGAGAAAGTTGACCATGTCTGGAAGAAGTGGAACGCGGAAATGCCATCCATGGTGCCATGGTGCACTGCCGTCCCAAAGGCCACCCCACCGCACTTGAAAAATGTCACCTACACATACATACATGGGGTGATTTGTTACACATATTACTAGCTGCTTGTAATTATAGGCATGCATATGTAATATATATAGCAGTGTACTACCATATATAATTTAGTTGAGTTGGTTAGAAAGAAAAAAAGACGAACAAAAATAAAAACTAGCTCTTTATATAAGAATCGGACTGACCTGGGTGGCACACACCTCAGCTGGGAGTATTTGGGGAACAAACAACCTCCTCAGCCTTGGTGATGGCTTCAAATTGCTAAAGTCGTCGATGGTGAGTTGGGAACGAGCCAGGAGGAAAGCATGCCCTTGCTGTTGCAACCGATCTCTAACCTGCCGTCGGCGTCCACCCTGAGGTGGCTGGCCATGGTAGAAGCCCACAAGGGCCATGCCTAGCGCTGTCTTCAACTTGGTCCCGTTGAAGAAGTCGGTGGTTTCGGTGCCGGGACATCGACGGTAGAAATGAACAAGCGGGGTGTAGCCTTTGTTGGCTAGCATGAGGTCGAGTGCCGAGAGCCATAGTGTTTTCCTCGGCGTGTCCGCAGCCGGCGTTACGAAGCAGGACTCTACCACCTGCACCTCTTCCTCACCGGCCATTCGAGTTGTCTCTCTTTCTTGCTCTCTCCCTTCAGTTCTTCTTTTTCCCTCAAGTGCTAGCTACTGGTTACAAATGGGGACTGATCGTGGAGCAATTATTTGAAGAGAAGGATCGCATTCCACAAGCAGCAATTATTTAAAAGCATCTCTGTTTTGACATATGATCTGAATCAACCAGGACCAGACAATTAAAGGTGAATACAAGCTGATGGAGACATTCATGTACGATGCCATGATGCTGTCTCCAATTGATGGAAATCAAAGGGTGGCCCATCTCCATCGTCAACTACTACTTCAGTGTCTCGGTTAACTTATAATTAATAACTATAGACTTGTTTCTTACAACGACTATTACATGGTATTTTTTTTTGAAAAGCAGGATGACCCCGGGTTTCTGCGTTTAGGCGATGCATGCAATCATCTTATTAATCTATTTTTATAAAAAAGTACTTGATGGGTTAACCAAAAAACGAGAAATATGTTAGAAAATCTGACAAAAATCAGAAACATCTGACCTTTAATTTGATCGATTAGAAAACTACTACCGTTAGATCTATTTAACGGAACAAAAACATCAATATTACCCACCAATGCCATTATAGACTTCACGCCTCAATATTTCTGTAGGACGTTCTGTATTGATATAAAAAAAAACTAATGTGTATTTACCTAATCTCTCGCATCGATCAAGAGGCCGAAGCTCGCCGCTCGCAAACTTCTCCCAGTCCTGGCGCCGGCGCTCTCACCTTGGTCGCCCTAAGTCTTCCTACTGGAACTCCCCACGCACGGGGCAGTAGGATCAGTGATAGGGTGTACGCATGCCCTTTTGATTGATCTATCCTACTGCGAGCGCCCAACATGCTTCTAGACGGCCAACAGCGGAGGCACAGGTAGATCACCTCTGCTTCTCTCCTGCCTGTTCCATATCTTAGGTGAGACCGGCAATGCTTTAAAAAGGATGAGATCAATCTTGATCATGTTGTCTATCTCCTCCGGCACACTGGATCCTTTCTTTTCCATCCAACCTCATAGGCCGTGAATAGAACCTAATCCCTGGAGCAGCATACGACCAGCACAAGAAACCAGGCAACGGACGTGCTGATTGTGGAGCGGATCGGATCGGAAAGCTTGACAACAAAGCCTTTTCAATTCGTTTTAGCCATAACTCAGGGCACGTATAGGGCTCAAAGATTTACTAGGAAGGGACATTGTGGTGCAATTCCAGTGCTTTCCACGGCGAGGACTCAGCCGCATGATGAGGAAGACGATGCCTCAGCCGTGGGGTTCCAGCGCCTTGATGCGTTCCTGGCAAGGGATGTGGATGTACGGTTCCAGGACTTTTAACCAGATGGAGACATCAAGCGCGTCAACAAAGGAGGGAGCACGATCTAACTTTTCACGGGTACGTACTGGAATTGCATGGACTGGAGCTCTCTTCCTTATGTCATCTGGGCTGACTAAAAAATTCAGGAATCCCGTAAGTGAGTACGTCCTCACGCATGCGGCCGTGACCAGCCTCTACCACGGCCAGTCTCTGATTTCAAACTTTGCTCATGCATACAGCCTTTTAGCAAGGAGCTGGGTACACGCCTCATAGTAACAAAGAGATGGATGGTAGACATGCCTAATGCACACAATCTATAGCTACGCACGGACATGTGATATATATCTAGGTATATGCATTGTTTTACTACTCAAACTGTATAATACAAGAGACCGTCTAGATTTAATCAGTGTCAACAACGACAATCTAAAACAAAGAGGTCAGTATATATCATGACTTTGTGAAATTGTGCATATGCCAATATGCCGACAATATATGCAGACTACAATTTATGGAATAGAGGTGCAAATTGTACTATAATGTAGTTCTACAGTGTACTTTTTTGAATTATACTAGATTGTAATATTTTCAAATATCTATATGTCGTTTGGTGCGTAATTGAAATCATGAAGAAGGTGATGTTCAGATAAATTCAAGACAAGTCATATATATGGTATGTATACTACTTTATGAGGAGCCACTGCGACCAGTTAACTATTATCATGCATAACTAACAAAGTAATTTTGAACACTCGATAATTACTTTCTGCATATTTGAATTTGTCTTACATAAAACATATTGACGGTCTTCTTATTTTTGTTAGTTGTTGGCAAGTTGCTCCAAAAAGTTGTGCTTGTACATTGATTAATTTATTTGGTGGTGAGGGGTCTGATTTTTCTTTTGTCTTTCCCTATTTCATAATCTAAGGAATTTGTCTGACTAACTCTTCCAACTTTTGATCACTCTACATGTTTAGAACTTCACTCCTTATAGATGGTCGGCTCATTTCTGTGTTTGCGAGATTTACTATAAATTTCTTCAAGCAGAAAAACTTCAAGGGTAATGCATGCTACAAGTTGTCATAGTGACTAGCTCTTACAAAGTATGTAGGCATTTTATTTGCGTTTATGCAGAATCTGATATTTCCAACTCTTCAATGTTTCACACATGTATTCTAGCTCTCTTCGATTACTACAATCTCATACCCACACTCCAAATAAGGTCATTAATGTTATTGACAAGCTTTGCGCCGAGAGTAGATGGTGAACCAGTTTCGGATGTAGAGTATATAAAGCCACATCAAGTAATTTTTACATTTGTTTCATACATGGTATCAGACTGTGTATATGGACATTTTTCAGTTTTGCACATAATTAATAACGAATCCTACTTTTAATGATGATTTTTGTTTCATTCTTAGTTAAAATATAGATAGACAATACTAATAATACACCTAAAACTAGGTCGGCACTCTCATCAACCAATTTGGTTGTGTTATAGCGATCATGCCCGCAAGTGCATGTGATGTCTTTATAGAACAGTAGACGGCACACCATGCTAATGTAATTCATTAGACATAAATTTTCCCAGTATATTAAAAAAATTGTAGGCATGTGTGTACATCATCTATAGTAAATATACTCATTTTTGTAGAGAAAAAATAGTTCATCATTTATTTTTGTAGAGCGTGCGTTTGTAGTTTCCAAAAAAAACGCATTCATTAAATTCCAAGAGATAGGAATATAGACGAAATGAAGTTCACTTTCTAGGATCGTTTTTATTTCATACGTTAGTAATTTTATATCCTATATTATTACCTTAAAACCCAACATAATGTAGTCATCCGTGTGTTCTTTGTGAATATGGACCTCTATAGTATGGCCACAATGTTAATATATATTTTATCTTTGACATGTGCTCCTTTATCCAGATTGCAAAAGATCATGTCACATTCATAGTATGAGTAAGCATGCCATTCACCCTCATGTACAATGAATATTGTAATATCTCTTTTGTGAATGTACCAAATAGTCAGCTAATCATGAGCGGAAATATATTTTCAATTAGCTAAACATTTGAGTTCAACTATGCAAACCTAGATCTTACATTGTTTGTATTTTTAAAAGAAGCTACATAATATATAAATGATGGATTGTGCATAATAGAGGGCTAGATAGTATATTGAGACTAAAATAAATTGATACAGAAGGCCAAGATGTGACTTTTGTTTTATCCAGTTTTCCATGAGAAGCAGAATTATAAATTAGCATATGTGTTGTACTCTACTTACTACTGATATGTATTATTAAATTTCATATAACCTAGGGAAAATCACTAGTAGAAAAAGGGTCAAACGTGAAGCACATTAGTGCCGGTTTGTATTTGAGCCGGCGCTAATGTATACATTAGTGCCGGTTCCAACGGCTAGCCGGGCCGCTTTCATTAGTACTGGTTTGTGGCGAACCTTTAGCACTGGTTCGTGCCACGAACCGGTACAAATGAGAGTGGTGGCAGGATGTTGTCAGACTGGGGCCCCTCCAGCCCCTTTAGTACCGGTTCTTGGCACGAACCGGTACTAAAGGTCGTCCTACATAAACCCTTCGTCCACCCGAGCTCGCTCTGTTCTTCCCCTTTCCCCTCTCCTCTCTGTTCTTCCCCTCTTCCTCTCGAGCTCATCACACATTTTGCCCAAAATTTGCCAAGATTTCAAGGCCCCCATCCATTCAAATGATCACAAAGGTTAGCAACTTTGTCCTTTCATCTCTCATTGCTAGATTAGCTCTTGCAATGCTTTATATAGTGATTAATTTGTGAGTTTAGTAATTTGGGAGGAAATATATATATATATATATATATATATATATGTGCTAGTATTTGATTTATATGCAATTTGAGGTCAAAAATAACACTTAGTTTGCATATGTAGGTGTGGTTTACTTAGTGCCTTCTAAATCTCCGTCGTAACCACCGTCGATCGCCCGCACCGTCCCGTCGCCGGCACCACCTTGTGGTGAGCCTCTTGTTCATGAAATTTTATATAAAAATTGATGTTTGTGTGATTTGGATATATAGTTACTCGTATAATTATCTTACCCATACGTTGTTTGTTATACATATAGTGCCATGGTTTTGATATCCGTCCCCGTCGGCCCTCGTCCTTGTTATGATTCGGATGTGGTATATATATTCTCTTTTAAAACTAGTTGCATTTCGTGTTTATGACAAATTATGCCCATCAAGTTGACATAGATATTTTTTCTAGGAGGTATGTGAACCGGAAATTCCAACCGACCCTATTGTCGAGAGGTTAAATTTAGTTGAAAGAGAAAACGAGTACTTGAAAGAAAAATTGAAAAGAATTGAGGGGGAGAAGATGGAATTGGAGTTGCATGTTGTCGATGTCATCGATGATCACAAGATCAAGATGGAGAAAATGCGCTTGAAGATTAGAAGATTAGAAAATATGCCATCGATAGTGAGGCTTGGTATCATTATGATGTTGGATCAATTGTTACCTTAGTTGCGATCTTGATCGCATTTGTTGTTGCATTTAAATGCTTTAGCTAGAGAGTTATTTGTTTGTTGCATTTAAGTGTTGTATGAACTTTATGTATGAACTTGTATTAATTTGGTCTATTCGATGTTGTGTAATGAAGATGAGCCGGCAATGGATGT